CCCCCTCCCCCTCCCCTTCGGCTTGCTGACCGGTGCGTCCCGACGATTGCTAGGAGCCTGGGTCAAGACAGCAGCGGTCGAAGGCCCTGATGGCGGCGCGATTTGGACCGGCACACTGTGCTTCGCCCGCGCTCGTCAAGAGCTGCATGCTCGGTCGTGTGATCCAAGAGCGAATGACTCTTTCGGCCAGAAGCAGTTCGGAGTCAAGATTGAGCAGCATCGAATTGCTAACCTCTCCCACTTTGGGGGAGTTGTTTGGGAGGGTATGGAATGGGGTCCAGGTGATGCGGAGAGCGGGAGGGCGCCGGAATGCCGCACCTCCTAATTGAAGAAGGTCGGATCTTCCCCGAGCGCCGCACACAGTGATCAGCAGGTCCAGTACAAATGAAAGGAGAACCTGCCCCCAGCGAGCGCGCTGGACTGTATTGGCCAGAAGTGCGAAAAGTCCGCGCGTACATCTGCGATGCATGCACGTTGTCTCGGGATGGTCATCTTTCAGCAGAGACGTACAAGGAGCTTGACGGAAGCTCGCCGATTGCAAGCAAGCGCTTCCACCCTCCTTTGCTGAGAACAGCACAGCCGAGCAGCGCTTGTGCATGCCCCAACGTAGCACACCATCCATCCAGCCTCATCAAGCGTTCAAGCGTTCACGGTGGCTTAGCACAAGGCATCCGCTGAGAACACCACGTCGCTGTACCGCTCAAACCAATCTTCGAAACGTTCCCCACAAAGGAGCATGCTCAAACATTCCAGCTAAAGCGGTCTGGCGAGGCCCCCCCTCAGCAGATCAGACGGGGGTCATTCTTGTTCTCCCACGATCTGTAGTGAGAAAGTGGGACGCTTCTCATGCGAGGTGGACTGTACGGTGGGAGCGGTGGCGTTAGGCACCATTTCGGGGCCATCCTCGTGGCTGGGACGCTCCACAGTCTCGCGCATTGCATGCTCAGGGATGATGGGAGGTCATAATACAAGTCATCGAATTCTGTACATGCGTGAGGTTGTGCGCGTGCCGCGACAAGAGCGATCCTTGGCCAGGCCCCATGATACGCAACACATCACTTTGCTAGGGTCGACTCGAGCGATCGCGAGGGCAGGAATCTGTGCGCTGGACGCTTGACTGCTTTGGGTACTGCTCGCTTCAACATCTGATCGCCGACCGTGCGTAGAGAGTCTAGTCGCGAGGAGAAGAACCTCGCGCAGTACTGGAAGCTGATACGGAAACAATGTGCAGCAGTGTCAACTGGTGTGCACCGACGCGCACAATTATGCGTGGGGAAAAATTGGCAAGAGAGGAAAAGAGCTGGTTTTGCGAACTCACTTGTTGATATAGAGCTCGCGGTCCTTCTTAGCGATGCAGTGCGCCCAGCGCCGCGTCGCGAGCGCGAAGCTGGTGTCGTCGTGCAGGATGCTGTTGAGCGCATCCTCTCCAGGCGCTGCAAAGTCTTGCTGGCTCATGTGCGCCGCATCCGACCTGGCAGCTTGGTGCGAGGCGATGGCGGCGTCGACATTGCGGCGCATCACGTCGGGCGTCGCCAGATGGACCTCTACGAGGCCGAGGAGCAACATGGACAGCGGCGTAGCTGCCGCCACGTGATCAGCGTGAGGGTCGATGTCTAGGCGCGCCCACACGTCTGCAAGGGCCAGGAGCGAGAGCTGAGAGTTCTTCGTGTCTCTGACCGCATCAGAGCCGAGCAAGCCGTCGTCGGGTGCGGCAGCGGCGGAAGCCATGGCTGCCCTGGCAACCTCGGCTACATCCTCCTTTTCGTTTCTGCTAACGCAAAATGGCTGAAGCATTGCGTCCAGATCCTCATCGAACAGCAGCTCTAGCGTATCGGAAGGGCTGCGGAACAAGTTGGCGCGAGCTGCTACCATGCGGTCGAACAGCTCTGCACGTTGGCCATTGCGAAGGAGCTGCGAGATCTGATCGACGCTGACGCTGTACTCGTGCACCAACGCGAATGCTTGATCGTTGCCGAACGCCAAATCGGCGTACAGCTTTGCATCGTTGCCCAATATCCTCGCCGTCAAGTTCGCCTTGGCGTTCTCGATGCCACCCTCGTACCGTTCGCATTCCCATGGCAAGACGTGGGCGCGACGCCATGCGGTGCCCATGCTGAGCAGAATCGTATGCGTCAATACCTGCGTATTCGCCACCGTCCTGTCGTGGCTGGTGTAGTCCATGCAAGATACTCTGGAGCCCAGAGCAGCTGCGATGAATTCCAAATTGGAGAATTGCAGGTCGGTGGCGCGATGGCGGATGAGCACGATGCTTTGACCGCGAGGGTCAAGCGCTGGGCCGTGCATGGAATGGCACGAGACGAGGCCTACATCGGTCCTGCCTGCGCCTCCATCGGCAGTGCTGTGCACATGTCCCTCAAAAGCGGCAATCTCTGGGCCTTTCACAGAGGTCTGGCCACAGATGGTCGCCGCATGCTTGAGGTGAGGCGCAACTTGCTTGACGATGGTACTTGTGAGGTGCGTGGGCACAGAGATGAGGATGAAATCGCAGATGGGAGCCATGTCTTCTAGTTGCGGAAACGGCACGACGCTGGTGCCAGCAAACTCGCGCACCAAGGCGTGATACTTGTCCGGCGCTTCGCAAACGAGAATGGGATGGTCAAAGGGCAGGGCAGCGCGCAAAGCCGTCAGATACATCCGTCCCATGCCGCCTAGACCGATGAGACCGTAGATGGGGGGCACATTGGCCACGATGGGCTCGTAGGAGATGGATCTGCGCGCACATTCTGCCGCGGACTCTAGCGCGCCCAGGCGTGGAGATGAGTGGGTCGAGGAGCTTGAAGTGGAGCTTGCAGGTGATGCGTGACCGGGCGACACCGTTCCGGCCTCTGCCGCCGCCAGCGTCGATTCGTACTCGAGCGTAAGGCTCGGCATGTTTACGAGTGTCTGAAGTCCGCGAGCGAGCTAGTGCGAGCACGTAGTGTGTGCTCGATGGTGCGCTTGCGTGTAGGCATCGACGTGCAGATGCGGTCAACGGGCGATGATGAGGCACGCTCTATCCGGGCTCACTTGATCCGCGCTTGGTAGTGAAGGTTTAGGAGCTATGAGTGATTGCTACGTATGCTCGTTCATGGTCACAGCTAGCGAGCGTGTGCGAAAGGAACAAACCGCATCGAACGCAGGACATCGCTCGACCCGCTTGGCCTTATAGGCGCTCGGACTATCGTTGTGGCTCTTTGAGCCAGCTACCAGTGCGACAACAAAATTCGTTCTGGTGACTGCGATGTCTTGAGATGCGCGACGCAGTGCGAGGCCGTCGCCATCACCGTGCGCATTTCCGAGAAATTGTGAAGCGGTGCCAGCGCTCGCATTCTCATTGGCCTTACTGATCCGCAAATGCCTTGTGGAACGTGCGCATGAAAGGTCCGTCCGTTCATATCTAAGCGCAATGGGGCAAAGAAATGTGTGCGAAGCGACGTATTGGCGCAGCCCGGACGACGAGGTGTGATGGGGGGGATGGACTGAACGCGACTTGGGCGAATCAGATCCTTGCTCGAAGCTCCGAAATTTCGCTATCACGGTGATGAATGCTGAGCCACACGCCGCGTTGCATCTCGATCGCTCCTGCGCGAGAGCGGGCGGCGTGAAGACTTGACACTTTTGACACATTAGAGATTAAAATACCGACTACTGTGTTAAATACGCCGTGCTAAGCTAAGGCGCTATACTTTTCTCGGGTCCAGCCCCAAGGAACCGGCTGTCCGTCCCATCCATTCCTCCGGAGGGCGTTGCGGGAGAGCATGCTGAGCAGCAGGCGCGTTGGACTCGTAGCGTAGCGCAGCCCGCCAGGACGCTGCTACTCGAGTTTCGCCGCTGCATGCAGCTCCGCCGGCTTGGTACAGTCGCGCGTGAGTACCATGATTGATGACCTCCTGTTGCTGCTGCTGCTGCTGCTGCTGCTGGTGCTGCTTAATTGTCCGCCAAATGAATTGGACCTGCTGCTGCCTAGCTGCAGCAGCTCTATATAAAGCACGCGTGCATGCATCGCAGCGCGGACATGAAGTGGGCTCGGATCTCAACGTGGAAGACGAGATGAGGTGCGTGCCGCCGCACGCCATCTCGCCACGACGGAGCTCAGCAAAGGGTACAGTCACGAGTATGCCCTGCACGACGGTCGTGGGCAACAATTTTGAGCCATGTCGCGAGGCCGATAGCAGTTCGCAAATAGTCACGCTTTCTCCATCAATTCAGATGAGAAATGTCCATGACGGCGTCAAGTCAAACAAACGTGCCCTCTCCTCGCTGCATGTGCTCGCGTTGGCTGATGAGCTGTGAATCACGTGGTTATAGCGTTCACAAGCACAATGAAGTCAAAGTGAAGGGGTTGACATTTCCACGAGCCGCATGCATTGATGACGGGCACATGTAAAAGTCCCGAGCCAGATCCACAATCCACAATCACTCAAAATCGCAGCAGAGTAATTGCGATGAAGCAGATGCGAGGTGGGGCTTGCTGCTGCAATTAAGTCGTGAGTTGCGCTGCGCCCCAGCAGAGCGTTCAGTTGTGAGTTGCATCGTGATCTCACTGCGGCCGCCGGCGCGGACATGGTGGTGGAACGAGCGAGGCCGATCGAGTGCGCGCACAAACGCGCATGCAGGGATACAGTCAAGTGAGTACAGCGGCCGGCTGGCTCAGACTCGCCTAGCTGCGGGCCGCGCAACGGACTCGTGACGTGACTACCGCCGACAGCTCCGCGAGATGCATGCACGCATGTCTGCATGCAGGACCGCTGCATGCTTGCTGCTGATGCATATACAGTATATGCGTCATGGCATGGCATGGCGTGCGCGGCGCTCAATCAAGGCCGCGGGCGCTTCACGCAGCAAAAAGCTCCCGCGCTCATGACGCGCACCCAACCGTGACGCTTGAATTCACTCTTGACTCTTCGCTCTTGACTCGTTCCTGTGCTTAGTCTGTGAGTAATCTTGAATCTCGAATTCACCCGGCCTCTGCACGGATCACACTCATGACTCAAATTCAATTCAGCACTCGTCATTGCGTCATCCTGTCGCCCTCACCCAGCTTAGCACGGCCTTTCTTGCGGGGCAGGGCGGGGCTGGAAGGATCAAAGCACAGAGCATTGATTCACACTGACCATTCAAATTCCGTCTCACCTTGGCCCAGATCGCGAATGCAGCAAGGAGCTAACTGCCTGCCTACGCGGCTAATCAAGAGTGTCGCACTCATCAGATTGTTGCACGCAGCGCAGCGCAGCGTCTCGTTTGCGCCCAGAAAGGCTGCCAGCAAAATGGCTCGACCGTCGAAAGCCGCTTTAGGGCGGAGGCATGGCATGGAAGCAGCAAGTCAACGCCTTCCTGCTCCTGCATTTGGGACTGGGACTGGACGCCGTTCGGGTCGCTCTTGTCCATCGCCTGGCTGCTCCGCGCCAGTGGAACTATCCTTGGGGAACTCACTGCGACAAAGTTTGCAATGCGCATGCGGCACCTCTGGATGTGGTCCCCCTCATATAAAGCCTAGCTGATGTAGCTTCACATCGCGAGCCTGTTGCATGACCGCGATTCCCACCGACGACTCACCGTCAACATTGATTTCTAGCCAGCCACGCCAGCTCATTGTCGTATCGAGCTTGCCCGACGAAGCACAAGTCGCAAGTACTCCATCAGTCTCGTCGCTTGTGTCCAGGCTCCGTTTGCACCCTCGCATACTCTGGTGTCGCAGCTTGCTACTATCAACAACAACAATGCCCAGCGTTCAAGAGCTGCCGCCGAGCTTCGGCGATCAGGCGCACATGCCAGGGCGCAAAGATCGTGTGCATGTGCTGCACACCAAGCGCTCCTTGGGATCGCTGGAGCACATGCGCATTGACAGGGATAGCGCGCCTCCCGTGCCCCCCGTGCCGGCAGTACCACCGACTCCGAAGAGCTCCTCCAAGGGACACACCGTTGTGATGGAGCGCAGACCCAGCCGCGCTGCGCTGCGGCCATCAGCGAAGGTGACGAGCTGCGAGGAGCACTACAAAAACAAGAACAGCATGCGCTCCGTCTTTACCGACCCTGCACATCGTCTCTACGTCGACGATGCGCCGCTGCCCAAACCGTTGCCCGACGAATGCGTGGTCCGCGTCCGTGCCAGCGGTGTGAGTGATATGATGCGATTTGCCTACTTTTGTGCCTCGCATGCTCACTTTTTCATCTTGGCATCACCGTCCCCACTTTTACCACGTACCACTGCTCCTCGTATTCGGTTCGGGCCACTCTTCGCAGATTTGCGGCTCCGACTGTACATCGTGGCGCAAGGGCTCAATTGGCGGTCACGACGTCAAGGCACCTTTGCGGCTGGGGCACGAGAGTGCGGGCGAAATCGTCGCCGTCGGCTCATCCGTCCGCAACTTGAAGCTGGGCGACCGCGTCTGCATCGAGCCAGGCATTGCGTGCGGCAGTTGTCGACAATGCAGGAGCGGATGGTATAATCTGTGCCCGCAGGTGAAATTCATCAGCGTCGCCCCTTGTCACGGTGAGTCTCTCGCATGACGCCACGCAGCGGCAGGTTTCTTGCCCCGCTCGAAAACGCGCTGACTGGGGGGTGCGCATCACGTCTATCTTGCGTGTGCCTCGCCTAGGTACTCTGGCCGAGTATGTCGCACATCCTGCTTCCTGGCTGCACAAACTCTCGCCGGAAACGGACTTTCGGGAAGGAGCATTGATAGAACCTATGAGCATCGCACTCGCCTCTGTGCGGCGGGCCGATCTCAAACTTGGCCATGTAAGTCACCGGGATTGTGACGCGCTCACGACTGTGCCCGAGCGAGCACCCCTTGCGCCGTTGGGATGGCGCGACGTGTGATGGCGCTTGCTTATCCCTCAAACGACCCCTTTGTTCTGGTTGGACTGATAGAGCGTCGCTATCATCGGAGCAGGCTCCATTGGGTTGATGATCTATCTACTAGCAAAGGCATCTGGCGCCACACCGATCACGCTCGTCGACTCGTCGCAGGCGCGCTTGGACTTTGCGGTCTCTGCGCTCGGCGTGAGGCCGTCCGAAGTGGTGCGTGCAGATCCGCAGGGGACGCACACGGCAGAGGCAGCGCGAATCATCGAGAGCATGTCGGGCACGCGACCCAACATCGTCTTTGAATGCACCGGCTTTCCCGGCCCAGTGCACGTCGCCATTGAAGCGCTCGAGCTCGGAGGCGTTTTGACGGAAGTGGGCATCGGCGCCAATGTCGACGATCTGCCCTTCTCGGACATGCTCCACCGTCAGATCGACCTGCGCTTCGTCATGCGCGCAAATTCCTGCTTCGAAGACTGCGTCAAGCTGCTCGAGAACGGCATCGTCAACCCCAGACCGCTCGTGACGCACAACTACACTCTTGAAGAAGCGCCAACCGCGTTTGCCGCCGCTTCTCATCCTCAAGCCGGGGCGGTCAAAGTTCACATTGTCTCGTAGACAGTGCGTTACCTCGACATGCTATCTTGGTCTTTCCCCTAAGTTCGCCCTCGACACGCGCTGTGTCTAGCTTTGATCGTGCGGGATCACGTGTGTAGCCTCTTCACTCCGCGGCTCAAGACCACCGACCAGCACGGACCACTCTCTTTGCCTTTCTCCCTTCAAATCCTGCCTCCGTCTCATCGTGCTCCTGTCTTGCTTCTTGTACCGTCACAGTCCTTTACACTCGTGCGCAGAAATGCCTTCAATATAGACTCACCTAGACCACCCATTCTGACCTGGTCGTCCGCATCGTGCACATTCAAATTGGGAGAGGGCGTTGCCGCAGCGTTATATTGAGATGCGCACGACCAAGCAAGTCGTCGAAAGTCAAAAGAAAGCGTCTTGCGCACAAAAATCCCCACATGCCTTCTCCCCACCATGCTCCCTCATGCCCATTTGTTTGGCAATAGGGAAGCAGGCAGTGCTAGTCGGTATGCAACGGTATGGCCGGACGTGGATCGGGGGCAGCACCGTGTGCGGCTGCCTCGAGCGCCTTCGCCATGAGACGGGAAGCGCAGAGGGGACGGGACGATGCAGCTTGCCGTGGCCCCGCGGCCCAACATAGAGCGAAGCGAACGGGACCTTTTCTTTCCCCCCTCTGCGACCCCCGCATCGTGCGCAGCTTCAGCCCTTCCAGCATTTCTTTTCCCCCTTTGTACTAGCCCCAAATCGATGGGCTCCGCATTCACTTCGCCGCCCCCCCCCC